TGCAAAAAAATCGATAAAATCGATAAAAGTAATCGATAATCCCGAAAACCAATATTGTATTCGGAATCCCCATGCTCGATTACCCCCCTGTGCGAACTCCCAGCCCCGTAGCTCAAACTTTGCAAAAAAATCGATAAAATCGATAAAAGTAATCGATAATCCTGAAAACCAATATTATATTCGGAATCCCCATGCTCGATTACCCCCCTGTGCCAATTCCCAGCCCAGCAGGTGAACTCTGCAAAAAAATCGATAAAAATCGATAAAATCGATATCGATCGATGACGAAAAGTAGCCTACGACATCGTCCGGGGCCCGAAATGTATGTGTGCCAAGTTTGGTCCGGATCGGTTCAGAAATAAAAATTTCTATTCGGAACATACGTACACACAGACAGACAGACAGACAGACATACAGACAGACATACATACAAACAGACATTCAGCTTTATATATAAGATCTATGTTTTTAACTTTTTTGCTTTCATAAATACAGTAAACGGTTCAAAACATGCATAAATGTGTTTGGTAAAGAGGTGTCATCCTACAACGTTATTGATCACTGTGTGCGCAAATTTTCTAATTTGTCCCTGTCCCCTAAATTTCGAAGAGGTATCTTTCCACAATAATCTTTTTTCAGGAGATTCAAAATACTTCATAAAAAAATATCTGCTAAAACTAACTTAATTACTCAACTTCACAAACATATAAAGGGTCGAAATTGTGCGAAATTACTAGTGCTGCTAAGATAAATAATTCTATCTCTATATTTTGACATATTTTAACTCAAACATATTTCAACTCAAACATCTATCACACTTCAATAACGCTTCATATTTTACCTGCCCTTTGACTCTCCTGACAATAAACCTCTCACGATCAAGTAAACGCTCAAAATTTACGTGTCGCTTTGGGTTTGAAAAAAAAAACTTCCTGCACGTCTTATTTGAAGTGAGATTTCCTTTGCTGATTGCTAAGAAAGATTTGCGGGCCTTCTTTAGTTAAAAACATTTTCTCTGATGTGCGGGATAGCAACTCCTTCGACATCAAAAAGCATAAAACGCTTTACTGATGAGAGCAAAAGGCTTTTTTAGAATGTATTTGTGGCAATCTAAGCGAGCGCAAAAAATTTTTCTTGCAGGATGAAGTTATCAGAAGTTTTTGCGAATTTTTCAAGTTAGTTTAAATTTTGTTACCCGGAAAACCAGGAAAAATGAGAAATTTCTGCGTTCGAAGGGATTTTCTTATGCCAAACGGAAGGATTTCAAATAAATTCTATCTGAATTGGAGATTACATTCGACAGCCATTATGACTAGAAGTAATAGCAAAAAGAGTGCAAAAAAATCAAAAAACTGCCCCGTCTATGCTCAAATTGCTACTTCCCTCGTACACTCTTATGTTGCCCATGCAAAGGGCAATCCAGCGTTTTGGGGAAAAGAACAGGCAATATATTTGCGTTTTTGCAAAAGCAAGTAAAACTAAGCAGTCGTGTTTCGTCTGAAGTATTCGACGCCTGTTGTTGTTAAACAGATCGTATATAAGCTGGGAAAAACAAGGAAAAGGAACATTTTCTGCGGTTTTGAGTGCAGGAGAAGAACTCCCAGCATAAGGTTGATGCAAAAGTAACGAACATGTTTCTTGGCCTATAGCCAATTGGTGTTCAACATCATCCCGAAAACGTTTATGCGCGTGTTATGTTAGCGGATCGACATCTACTAATTGTTGGGGTTCCACTTCTTAACATTTAGCGCGGTTGCATATATGCAAATGCCAGAATTGAACTCTAAAAATACCAGAATTCGGTCTTTCTAAAAATATTTTCACACTCCACATCTATCCTCGGGCCAGCAGAAAATATAGATAGACATGGATATAGGTAAAATATGAAAATAGGAAAAAAAATTTGAAAAAGTTGCGGCAGAATCTCTGCAATCATATCCAAGAAGGTTTATTATGCACAATTGAATTTTAAAACTTCATCAAAGGCTTTTAAACCTTAACGATCTCCTAAACTTTTCCAAACTTAGCAGGCGTACCCTGCTTGAAATAAAAATATACAAAGGTCATGGAAGTTCAATCTGCATTTACGAAATCAAGAATCAGTGCAAAGTTGCGATCGTGCACAACCTTACTTTGACTAACCTGTCATAACTTTCTTTTCGGCTATTTTCAAATCTTTGAGTTGGTCTGCTCGACCTACTCGGCATAGGTGCTTCAACAACCCTACTGCCACTGAGAGCATTGAACTTTTCATATGGATCTAATAGACTACCGTTAGAGTAAACAACCAGTTCCCAGAACAAAGCTATTTCGGTTTGACGGGTAAAAAACTAAAAAAGCCAGACACATGCAAAGAATTTGAATGTACTTCACTTTTTTTTCAGCAATGAGTCTGACCAGAATGAATTTGACAAAAAACTACTCATCGAGCATTCAAGCAGGTGATATGGGCAAGAGTTTTTTTGGGTTTGTCTTTGCTGAAGTTGATAGTCAAAGACCCGGTGAGGACCTTTTAGTCCGATTCGAGTACCCTCTCCTTGCTTCGGCGTCTCAAAAATTCGGTATGTTATTGATGATTTTTCTTTCAATGCATGGTTTTCAAAGTGTGACGTGTGAAAGCGCTACTTCGTAATAAAAATAAGGCTGTCAAGCAACGACTGAATTTTTTCAGATCTTAAATTGCATTTCCTGTTCAAACCATATTAAAATCAGGCGCGCAGCTAAGGATCGCAATGCGTCAGCCATAACCAGTAAAAGTGCCTAGGTGTTCCTATGGAAGTTATATACATGTACCAGCATATGAACTTCTTGACCTTACTGCTGAATAAAGATTAGTAAAAAATCTGCTATAAGAAAACTCTGGATATGGTCCTGTAGTGATAATGAAAACAATTTGCCTACGGTTACATCAGAAAATTTTTTAAGCCTTTGTCGGCTGTGCAGTTTCATTCTGAAACGTAATAGAAAGAGTTGAGTGTCACACAACATTGAAGGTTTTAGAAAAGCCAAAAGAAAATGCACGGACCAATTCAATGCGATTGATGCCTAGAATTATCCAAACGACAGTCACTCCGAGTCACACCGATCATAAATTGTTGTTTCCAAAAAAGTGACGATAAAAAATATCCGCTTCTCGTTGTTTTTTTTTTTGCTTAAAAATGGACTGCCCATCTTCTGACCTTTTCTAACTGTTCTGTCCATCTTCTGCCCGTATTTCTAGATGCCCATATCTTACGCGTGCTGATATTAAACAGGAGAATTGTGATCCCGATAGCTTCGTGCTGGGTGTTGCCTTTTGCATCGAAGCACAAAAATGTGAAAATATAGCACCTGCGATTTTCAGGACACTCGAAAGAAACAACAAGCCCATCGCTGTAGTAGTATTTACATCAAGGAGCGCTAGAAAAAGTGAAATGGATTTGTTGAGGTGTGCCCTGTTATACTAACACGGTGTTGGCTAGTAATGATTGTCCAAGGGAGAGTAAATAAGGGGAAGGGGGAGGGGAGAATTAGGTGGGGTGAAAAAGAGCATGCATAGAAGTCCATGTGTCATTCAGCTTTGAGCAGCGAGCAATCGTTCTTGTTCTCGGACACTGTTTTTTTCTATGCAACTGAGGAAAAAGGATTATATCTTTTCAAAAAATTTGTTTTATTTGTTAGTTCGGAAACTTCTCAAACATTGCCTTTTGAAGATTTTCGCAGGTAAGAAAAAGTATATCACTTATCTGATTTTTTTTAACAATCACGAAAATCTTTCCTTCACTAGAAATTTACAGGAATACGAAACAGAAAATACGCTCAATCTTGATCTCGGACTGTTTTTTTCTATGCAACTGAGGAAAAAAGGATTATATCTTTTCAAAAATTTGTTTTATTTGTTAGTTCGGAAACTTCTCAAACATTGCCTTTTGAAGATTTTCGCAGGTAAGAAAAAGTATATCACTTATCTGATTTTTTTTAACAATCACGAAAATCTTTCCTTCACTAGAAATTTACAGGAATACGAAACAGAAAATAAGCCCTATCAAATACCTTGAGATTACCACCAGTATCATCAGAGCTCTACGATGTAGTATGCCTCACCATTTCGGAAAATGAGTGCTGAAAAAAGGAGGGCAACTTGTCCACAGCTTTTTGGCGGTCACTGTATGTTAAATATGAAATGCATGGAAAGATGCAGCAAAGTGAGTTTATTCGGGACTGAATGGAGCAAAATTTCGTATGGGTTGTGTTTGGGATTCGTTATCCTCGGGTTTGACTAGCTGGTTCAAAATGATATAAAACGACCACATTTTCACAAGATATTATTTGCATTAAATGGAAGTTTCTCTACTTGCTGTGGAAAAAAGCAAGTCTTTGTCATTTTGAAGCCGGATAGCATTTTCTCTCCAAGTCCATTGGGATTAAACGGAGTGATTGAAAACCTTGGCAGGATCTTTTACCGAAGCAAATTAAGAAATATTTCAAGTTCAGGCACTAATGAAATATTCATGAAGTCACCTACGATACCTAATATAATTCAATATTTTTACTTTGGTACACTGAATGAGGTAAAACAAAAACTTCAATCTAGCTTAATCGATTAATTCCAGAATCCCAATTACGAGAGCACATTCACGAAATTCTACCGTAATTTTCCAAGCAGGACCAGCAAAACAGATAGGAAGAAAAGTACAAGTTATTTGAGTTGTTTGTTTTGACGGCTTTTCTCCTATTATTTGACAAGTTTTGATTATCTGGCTCGCTCAGCTTTAATAAAATTTTGGATAAATTCTAAAGGAGACCTGGTCAGCTTTGTCAACTTTTTTAAAACGGCTGTGGAAAGGGTATTTAAATCTAGATCATACAAAGAAGCGCACTAAACACAGACAGTGCCGTGTATTTTTTTTTGTTTTGTACTAAAATGCATTCAGTCCTGGCCGGGAGGATCAGCTGCTGGTTTTTTTTTCAGGTAACTGCGATATTTTGGAAAAGCGAGTCGTTATGATGTTGAATCAAGCTTTTTGAAAACAACATTTATTCAATCTAGACGCTTCACTTCTTGCTCTTTAGTTCTTCTCAGGCTTGTTAAACATCGCTCTCACTTTTTCACCTGAAATATGAAGTTTACAAAACAATAGAGAAGACTTGAAAAAAGAAAAATTTACTTGTAAAAACGGTAGTAAAGATTGGGAAGTTCTTTTCGAGCTCCTCCTTGGCATTCTTGCTTAGTTTATCAAATTCACCGATATGCCTGAACATTGGGGAAGTTGAATTTTGGAAAAATTGAACGAACAACATACTCCCTTCCTTTCTCCTTGATATCTTCAAGCGATGGTTCTTGCCCAGCTTGAATTAGTTTACGCAATTTCCGAACATTTGCGGCAACCTAAACAACCTGATTAATCAAAGGAGAGTCTAAGAAATGGAGCTAGAAGATTTTTTATAGCTAAAATGATTCATTTGTGGCAGAGGACGATTGCAGCTCCAAACCCTCACACAATTTACCGTACCCGAGCGCGCTGATTGGTTTGCGCAGGAAGAGTGTACGATATCGGGAGAGGGTTCGAAGTTCACCCAAGAGAACCTTACCTTCTTCACAAAAGCCTTTGCTTCATCTCCTAGTGCGGCGACCTTTTTTCTGATATAGTCGCGGATCGCGGTTATTTTTTCCTTCATACTTCCTTCTTTTTCCATCAACCCTTTTAGAAACTGAAAAGCAGAATCTTTTGACGAAACCAAATTCAAAGTACCCTCACTTACCTTATCCTCAGTCTTGTAGTTTGCGACAACCTTCACTATCTCTTCTAGAACAGCTTTCTTCTCGGCGGGAAGGGCTTTGAGTTTTGTAGCCACATTCTCGGGAATAAGCGCTGAAAGGTGCAAGTTTGTCCTTAAGTTTGAAAGAAAAAATCAAAATAATTAGGCAAGGGATTCACCTTGATGTTTCTGTAGAAGACCTTCAAGATTTACTTCTTTCTTCTCTTCGGCGGGTGCAGAAAAAGTGTAGGCAACAAAGAGGGCAAAGAAGAGAGTTATTTGAAACATGCTGTAACAATTTTCTTTGGAAGTAAAGAGAGCAAATATGCCATGTGGAACATCCAGAACTTTCTAAATGTAAGCTTTGTTTGGAGCTGAGCTTTGAGAGCTTGGACCCAGTAAGACATTAATGCCAAGAAAATCATTTTGAGACATCGTCAGGGTTTATAGTCGACAGTTTCCTTCTTAGTGTGTGTAACTGCACAAACTCCTGACAAATTTGGCGTTGTCTCCAAATACTGTTCTTCGCGTTTGTTCTTGTTTTCTTTTGTTCAGGCATGACTGTATTTGATCAGTGCTAGTAAATACAATACACGTTTTACATGAATGAAAATGTCATCGCTACGGTTGAAGTGTGCAATTGCACACAGAAACGCAATGGACTATCATTACTGTAGATCACATGGAAGAGGCAGGGATATCTTGACAAAACAAGAAACACTTAGGTATTTAAAGATAGTCCTCTAATAGGGAGAATGTTCAGATCAAAAAATTTCTTGTGGGTAGAGTGTGCTAGTTTTGTTTCAAACGAGGTCTTCCAGAATAAGAAAATTTTTCTTCCATAACAAGAAGATTTCCTTGTTGGGAAGAGTGTGCTGGTTTTTCTGTTAGGGGAAAAAGGAGATCCTTCAGATATAAAAGTATTCAATGAGTAAAGTCTGTTAGTTCTTTTATAAGGGAAAACAGATTTTCCAAATCAAGATTATCTATTTGACGGGGAAAGTGTGCTGGTTCCTTCACGAGGGCAAAAGGAAATTAATTGGAGCAAAAAAATCTCTTTGATGGGTAAAGTATGCTGCTTCTTTCATGAAGGAATATGATTACAGTAAGCTAAGCGAGCGCAAAAAAATTTTCTCGCAGGATGAAGTCATCAGAAGTTTTCGAGAATTTTTCAAGATAGTATTAACCTTTGTTCTGCGGAAAACCAGGAAAAAATGTGAAATTTTTACGTTCGAAGGGATTTTCTTTATTTCAAACCGACAGGATTTTAAATAAATTCTGTCTGAATTGGAGATTACATTCGACAACCGTTATGACTAGAAGTAATATCAAAAAGAGTTTTTTGCTCTTCACTTACAAGAAATTGTCGCCAAATTCGATAGAGTTCGAAAAATGCAAATGACGGGAAGTAAAAAACCAGAAGTCCCTCGTATTTTTGTACCTGTCTTGCTGTTATCATTTTTTGTATTTTTTGCCCTAATCCTAAATTCTAGTGAGCTTCTTCGCATCACAAAAGAAGAGGCAGATTTTGCACCACCACAAAGATTTTCAGTCGTCCAAAGTTTTTTCTTAAAGACTACTGGATGGAATTTGCTTGTTGTAATCAGAATGAAATTATCAAGAAAGATCTTCTATAATTCCAATCTTTTTATGATCAGAAATCAAAAGTAATTTCAGCAACTGAAGATCCTACCATGGATATGATAGGATCATCCAACAGCCTAACGCATAACTGAAACTCCAAAAGTATGTCTAGGTTTGCTTCAAAAGCTGCTATTCACCGGAGCTAAGGAAACGTAAGGAAAAGAAAACTTGTTGGGTGAATGTCGGATCTTCCTGCAGCTGGTTTATACTGTGTTTGTAAGTCCGAAATTCGATCTCTTTGGAAATGACTTTTGTGACTGACTAAGAAAAATGGTTGGATTATTCATTCTGTATGCTTCAATTCCAAAAAAATCTTAGGTTAAGCTACTTGAAAATGAGTCAAATCTATTGTATGACTTCGAAATCTTCTCACTTTGATTCGCCGATTCGTTAACAAGTTAATAAGTTTACGACCTGGCGGCAGGTCTCGTCGGCAGATCGCTGGCACCTTTTCCGTGAGGTGGCCAGAAAGTGAGACCCCCAATTTAGGCTGTCCCAGGCCTTTTTCCAAAAAAAAATTTTTCGATAAAGATGCCGCCTCGACTCTGTAGAAAACTCCATAAAAGTCTGCGGTTCCAGAATTCCTCCTTTAGGAAAATATCTGGAAGCGCAGGAGGAGCTGCCGGCAACTTCGCGATGTCAGTTGCCGGCAACCTGCCGGCAGCTCGTCGAAATCCGCGAGATGGCAGCTGCCGGCAGGTCAGAGAGCACAGGAATTAGGGTGCTCTTTTGAGAGAGGGAGCTGCCGGCATCTCGACGTGCCCCTACCACGTCGAGGTGGTGGCACCTTTGCCGACGGCGTCTGTGAGTTTGCGAATTGCGGCGATATCACACAATTTACGTCAGGCGAAAAATCGAAAACTCTACTTTCTATCAAAAAACTATCATTTTTTGCATTATATGAGTTCTTCTTTTTTAAAACGACGATTTTCTTACAAAGAAAAAATCTAGTAATGCCTTAGGACCATAAAGAACACTATCTTTTTCAAGAATTCCTTCTAAATCTCGTTTGCACCGATTTCGCCCCTCTCTAGCTCATATCAATCAGCTGTTCTTTCAGGTCAAAGTCTCTCACGCAATGTATCGATCCCTCTTACAAGCGGCCACTTACCAGCGCGTTTCTCTTATTGCTGGTGCAAACGGCAATGGTTGCCCGAATGATCGAATGGTTAACGGGGTGGCACTTGAAGTTAACCCACTTAGGTTCGACCGTGCGCGAGGTAGCAGTTTTGCGGCTGTATGCGTCATCAAAATTTGATGTGCGAAATGATTGCGCACTAGGGTTACATAAGATTATTAGAACCTACAATCACTCCACGAGCTGCCGCCAATGATGGCAACTTCCTCGCAATGTGTGCCTACCTGCCGGAATCTTTGATGCCAGCAGGTAGGGTAGATTACTACGGGCCCAGAAGTCCCTCGTATTTTTGCTGTTTTGCTGTTACCATTTTTTGTATTTTTTGCCCTAATTCTAAATTAGAGTGAGCTTCTTTGCATCACAAAAGAAGAGGCAGATTTTGCACTACCAAAAAGATTTTCAGTCATCCAACGTTTTTTCTTAAAGACTACTACTGGATGCAATTTGCATGTTGTGATAAGAATGAAATTATCAAGAAAAAATCTTCTAAAATTCCAATCTCTTCATGCTCAGAAAAGGTGATTTTAGCAATTGAAGATCCTACCATGGATAGGATAGGATCAGTCAACTGCCTAACGCATAACTGAAACTCCAAAAGTATATCTAGGTTTGCTTCAAAGGCTGCTCTTTACTGGAACTAAGGAAACGTAAGGAGAAGAAAACTTATTGGGTGAATGGCGGATCTTCCTGTAGCTGGTTTATATACAGTGTTTGTAAGTGCGAAGTTCCATCTCTTTGGCAATGACTTTTGTGACTGACTCAGAAAAATGATCGGATTATTCATTCTGTATGCTTCAATTCCAAAAAAATCTTAGGTTAAGCTACTTAAAAATGAGTCAAGTATATCGTGTGATTTCGAAATCTTCTCACTTCAGTTCGCCAATTAGTTAAGTTAATACGTTTAAGAAACAATCCGATCGGTTTTTTGCATCGCGTGATAAAATCTTGAATTGTTTGAATCTTGACATAATCTTGGTTTGTTCGAAATCACTAAATTCTAAAATTTTTGCTGAAGTATTCCGGTAAATCTTATATAGTACATCTATAGTGTTCTTAAATTTTTTATCACAAGGAGACCAGCCTTTTGATATAAAAAGATTGGATAAGTGAACTACATCGTTGAGTGTCCACTGATTATTAGATCCTTAGTCTCTGAAAAGTATGGTACAGCAAAAGATGCAAAAACTTTAGATGGTAACAGTCTTCGATCTATCATGTGCCACTAGAAAATTGAGATCCAGTGAAAGATTCAAAACAGATTTTAGTATTAGGTTGGCACATAAGTTTTGCAACTTTTCCCACAATTTTTCTCATTTCATGTAGCAAACTCATTCTCCTCATGTAGATTGTGTGTAAGCTGCTCTGCGCAAACCGCTTAATTTTTAAAACCATAGTAGGAAATTAAGCATTTTCGAAAACTGCTGCAAATCGAATCGATCACAGTTTTTTGGCAAATATGAAGCCGTACAAAACCTGAACCGAACATATCAAGAAGCAATCATAGGCAGCATGTAGCTAAAGTTGACACATTGGAATCATTAAAAAAAGGAATTAAATAGAGACAAATTAAGATAGAGCGCCTTCGGGAAGTTAAACAAGCCAAATGTGTTAAATTTGGAAAACTATCTTCAATAGCTAAGCTGTAAAACTCAGAATTCGCTAAAATTTTGCACAACAAGGTAGTCCTATAAGTTGAAAATGAATATTATATTCATTCGTCGCTCAGATAAATATTCATTGCGTGGCTTTACAAGCGAGGCCTTTTCATGCAAAAGGGTCTCACTTTTGTGATCAGCATGTCGAATAATTCTCATAGGCCATGTTTCAGCGAAATTTGACGCAACCTAAAAACTTTCCCATTGTACCGTAAGCCTACCGAAGCCCTTTACATAACGTAGCAAAATGCGGCAAAAATATCTGCATTTGAAGTATAGAAGTATACATCATAATCCTTATGCTGCCAAAAAATGAATGCGCTACGTTCAAAAGGACAAAATTTATATAAAAAGTTGCATTACATATGTGCCACCTAATACTTATAGCTGCACTATTCAAGGGTACATCAAAAACCATGCGCTATCGGAAGTTGACTTTCCCAGTCCCAGTCTGTTAAAGCTCCGTGAAATCTCGCAGACATCAGGCGAGAATGGCCGGGAGATAGTTGAGCGCTTTCTCCAAAAGTTACCAACTAAACAGCCGAATTTGGAGCTTTGCAAGTCTTTGAAGAAGAAAGAATAGCCTTCTAGCTTACTGAATCTCTGAAGTTGTCACTTGCTAAATTTAACGTCATTTGGTGAAAAATTGATTTGAATATTCACGACATTACCTCAAAGGGGAATGTCCCGGCAAAATCTCGATTTCCGGTTTTTCACCTTTCCGAGCCTTCTCGCCATGCTAAACCCATATCTGAGCTTGTAGCACTTAAAAAAAACGAAAATCGGCTTTTTTCAAGGTTTTTCATGTTCTGTTTTGTTGGAGGATGCGAATGGGCGGGATCCATAAGACTTCTGAAGTGGATTTCAGGCTTTCCAGACTTCACCGCTAGGTTGGTTGGGGGATTGCCCTGCGCTGCTGTAAAGCACCCATCATTTTGCCGGGACGCTGCCTTTGTGTTGCACTTACATGGGTTTTTGACCTCCAACATTTGATTTTGGATCTATCTCAAAACAATAAAGTTAAACAAGCTATGCTTTTTTAAGAATTTGAAAAACTTTTGAAACGTTATTAAACAATAAAAATGCGCTATCTGATGTCCCGTATAAAGACCCTAAGAAACACCAAAGCAAGTAAACTTCTGAAAAATTCATGCTCAATGCTTACCGTAACTCTATATCGCCACGGAGACGTTACTGTGAGAATGACACTTGTGATCAGTGGGTCAGGCAACCCTCGCAGGAGATTTTGCAAAAATTTGGATCTTTTGAATGTTTTTATACTTCTGGATGTATTCGTTTCTAATGGATAATCTCTATTTAAAAACCTCCGCAAATGCTTTCAGCAGCTCTCCATTTCCAGCACTTGTCAGACCAGTCGCTTACAAAAACACAACTTTTTTCCGCGGCTAACCTCGGGTTTGAAAGTATTTTTATGATGCTCAAAGAAAAAAATAGTGCAGATTAAGTCCGTGTTTACCTCTTCATCTTGTAATAATCTTACAGTGAAAATCTAAGAGAACAGATTTGATTTTCGTGATTAGGCAGACTAAATTGCACCTATGAGCGAAATTTCGAGAGAATGTTTTTGTCTGATATCACACTTCAAGCAGGCTTCGCCGCGCGAACCTTTGAACCGAAAACCTTGCAAGTAGAGGTCCTATAGACAACTTGTTACTAAAATCAAAGTCGTTTCATTGTAGCATCTTACAAAGAGTTATACTGTAATAGATGGAAATGAACTACGCGAAGTTCGAAAGTCGACTGGTTTTTCGCTGGACTTAAGTGTTCATTGCCCTAGATTGTAACATGCTTCTGTTCATAGTCGGAGTGAACCAAACAGGCGAGAGGAACCAACTAAGGATGTAACAAATAGCCTCTCATGGATTAATATTACGGTGCTTCAGTACATACACAATATCTTTTTGCTTTTCAATTTGACGTGTATTGATGCCAAAATACCTTAGAGAGAGGTGTACTCTGTTATCCTCCACCTTGAGCGACATAAAAGAATACAACCATCAGCAAAAAGTAGAAGTTATCCTGGCTCAACTCTGGATGATCATAACTATATCGAAATGAATGTTAATGAAGGAAGTGTAGGGAGTAGTACACCGAGGATATCGCTGCAAAATCGAAAAACTACGTTTTTATAGCCTTCTTTGTGCTAAGAACGACTTGCGTTAATTTCCACAAAATTCAGGATAACATTTCTCAAATGACCTCATTTTGCATTACGATCAAAGGCACCGTCCACTCTAAGTTGCGGGTGTTGAGCTTTTGGCGGCATATGATAGTAGGGCCCCCCATCAATCCAATGCCCAAGTCGCGGCGCAAAATGCCGCTTCGGAAGCGTGAAAATCGCTTCGGAATAGAGAAGAGCGCGAGGACCCCCATCCATGCCCGCTCTCCCCCATCCATGCCCGCCCATTTGTGCGCGCCCATCCAATCACCGTTCCGGAAAGCCGGCCTGTAGGTTTTCCGGATGGGGATTGTAGGGGTTTTCGTGCATTTTCGATTTTATATTCGGAATCAAGGACATGAGAACAGAGGTGCGATAGTCGGAGCCGATTCTCCGTCTACCTTCACTTTTGAGCTGGTATAGGGTGACCACCTTCACTTTTGGATTTGAAAATTTTTTTGCTAAAGCAAAGAAGGAAAATAAGCAAAAGGAATGTAAAAAAAAAGTATTAAGAGCATATATCTATGTAGTAGGTCGATCCAGGCAGTAACGGCCGAGAACCAGAATTTCGAATGATAAAATAATGAAAAATCGTGAAACATCATTCCACTGTTATAAATCTGCTGGCTGAAGATCTCCGCAGTTGCGACTTTATAGGTTTTGAATGGTAAGTGTTGTTCTACAAGACAGTGAAAAATCAGTTTGATTTGAGGAGTGGCTGCCGAGAACGAGAATTTTGAAAAACCTTAAAAATCTTCTCAATTTTAGGTTGCTTAATGACAACTGACATTTAAACTCTTATAAATCCGGACTTTGAAGGTGTATGATGTTGCAACTTCATAGGTTTTGTAGGGTGAGGTTTGTCCTATCAGAATATGTCTTAGCTGTACCGATCCATTGAAACATCGCCGAGATACAGGCTCTCAAAAAGCAAATAAAAAACCGTTTTTCAGCTCATAACTTCTTCAGAATTGCATAATTCATGTTGCGACTTCATAGGTTAGATTCTCCTCGTCAAGAGCTTCAGATGATATATAATATGTGGGGATTCAATGTTTCTTGAGGCTCTAACCCGGGGTGGAGTACTCCTCTTCACTAATTCTCCACCCCGCCCATTTCAATGTATTGGCGGGAGGCCGCCAGTGGAGAATTAGTGAAGAGAGGTACTCCACCCCCGGGCATATGCCGTGGGAGGCGTGAATCCCTCACATATTATATATCATTTGAAAGCTCTTGATGAGGAGAATCCAACCTACGAAGTAGCAACATGAATTATGCAATTCTGAAGAAGTTATGAGCTGAAAAACGGTTTTTTACCTGCTTTTTTAAGAGCCTGTATCTCGGCGATGTTTCAATGGATCGGTACAGCTAAGACATATTCTGATAGGGCAAACTTCACCCTACAAAACCTATGAAGTCGCAACATCATACACCTTCAAAGTCCGGATTTATAAGAGTTTAAATGTCAGTTGTCATTAAGCAACCTAAAATTGAGAAGATTTTTAAGGTTTTTCAAAATTCTCGTTCTCGGCAGCCACTCCTCAAATCAAACTGATTTTTTCACTGTCTTGTAGAACAACACTTACCATTTAAAACCTATGAAGTCGCAACTGCGGAGATCTTCAGCCAGCAGATTTATAACAGTGGAATGATTTTTCACGATTTTTCATTATTTTATCATTCGAAATTCTGGTTCTCGGCCGTTACTGCCTGGATCGATCTACTTTCTTCGCTGTACATTATAATAAAATTTAATTAATAAAATACGTACAGTTCCGCTGAATTTTGCTTCCATAAACACTATTTGATAAGCACGTTTATTTTAGATATTTATGACTCATACTCACAAATATGCTTTCAATGACCTCTTTTGCATTTGTTTTGCTTATTTTCCGCGCACTGGCGGCAACGACCTGGAATGATAGACGTTAATGCTTTCTCTCTCTCCCCCCCGCTCGACGTTTTTGGGAGTTGAGTGTCCGGCATTACTACCTTCACTTTTGGTGGCCCGGCTCCCCCCATCGCATCTCTGCATGAGAAAGCTCTAAAACGACAAAAACATGTAAGTCGAAAATCTGGGGGACGGTGCCTTTAAGTTTCAAAAACCCCACGAGAGCTATTGGAGTTCATTAGAAACGAGAGACTGCGCTTGACTCTTGCGCAAAGAATCGCGTACGAAAATGCTGGTTTATTTTGAAGAAGTGGTTTTCAACGCTTGCGACGTTGTCAGCGCTTCTAGTCTTGTCATGAAGACCAGAAGAATTTATGATGTTGCAGGATTTTGCTGAGGCCCCGCGTAGATCTGCGACCAGGGCCCCGTCGTCTCTGGTCTTTCTCCTCTGCTCGTCTGCGTCTCCCGGTTGCGTGCTACCTCGTCACCCTAAACGCGATGCACTGGGCATTTCGCTTTGGTACCTTTTTTTAGTTGTCGTGAGCTTAATTCTAACAAACTGTATATCATACTGAAGCTCTTGCTCTTTATTTTCATGCTGACAACGTCGCCAAACCCCATTTCTTGATCAGAACGAGATGTCTGACAAGAACCCTGTTTTAAAGAATCTCTTGTTTTTCAGTTAGGTTCCTTAAGCAGTTTTCTCGTGCATTCGATAGATTTTGCTTCTGTTCATGATGTAGACAACGTCGCGAGGCTAATTTTTTCGACTGCGGTGCAATGTCTGGCAAAAAGCCGCAAAAACTGCGTTTTTATCCATAGCTTTCTTGGAGTTAGTAAGCAGCAATCTCTTACATGCCTAGGAGCATTTTGCTCAGGATTATGAGCACAACAAAGCTGACAACGTTGCTTGAAACAGAGTCTGCTAAAAGGATACGAAAAATTCAAAGGACCCATCAAAAAACTAGATTGTATCTGACGTGCATTTCAACTTAGGATCAAACATAGAAAACATACTCCCAAATATCTACAAGCGGACAGCAAGAACTCAGCGGACTATTTTTCCGGTGCCCCCTTGCCTACAAATAGCATGGCCGCCTGTCCCCCCCGCGATTATCTGAGTTGCTGGCTTACCCGGCTCCTTCCAACCCTTTCAAAACACTATGATAAAGGTCTCAACCCTATTTCTGTACAACCGTTTCCAGGCCAACTTCTACATGAATTTCCTAACCCGCTGTGTTAGTCATCAGCATGCCTCCTTGTGCCAACTCCCAGCCTCGTAGCTCAACTCGGCAAAAATCGATAAAGTTGATGAAAGTAGCAGATTTTTTTCAAAAATTTCAAAAACTAATATGGTAATCGTAATTAGCATGCTCGATTACCCTCCTGTGCCAACTCCCGCTCCGTAGCTCAAACTTCGCAAAAAAATCGATGAAAAACGATAAGATCGATATCGATCGATGACGAGAAGTCATACATACATACATACATACATACATACGTACATACATACATACCAATGGCTACCCAGGATTTCGGCTCGGGGGGGGGGGGGGACAACAACTTTTTCTAATGAAGGTGCGCGACATCAGCCACTCACTCTGAAAAAATTTTAGGGCAACTTTTAAAAATTTTCGCCGCTTCGTAACCTCGAAAATCTGGTAAAAGGGAGCGTGACTTGCGCCACGCCCTCTTTTTCTGGAATTTCGGAGTTCTGAGCTTGCAAAAACTTTTAGAAGCACCCCAAAAATTTTTCGGAATGCGTGGCTGACGTCACGCACCTTCATCCAAAAAATTTTTTGTCGCCCCCCCCCCACCCCGAGCGGAAATCCTGGGTGCGCCTCTGATACATACAAACAGACTTTCAGCTTTATACTAGGCTGTCCCGAAAGTTCGTTCGCACCATTTTCAAAAATTCATAACTTCTGATTTTTCTAACCGATCTGTCTGCTTTCATTTTTGTATGAAAGAGTAAGTCGTGATCTTTATAACGACATTTTAGCTGCTACAAATGGTCGTCTGTTACATAGATAGGATCGATAGAAGAAAGTCAAAATTCAAATTTTCTGTGTAGGGTCATAAAAAATCGGAAACTTGCACTATTGTAAATCCACTAAATATCACGTAATCTGCGTTCTTTTCTGATGAAACTGTCTGAAATTTTGCTATATTGTGCTGCTAGCTAACAAATTTCTCAAGACGATTTCTGATCTAACCGTTGGACGGAGAAAAATGAAAAATTTCAAAACGCCTGCGGTGGGAGTTTGCTAGTTACATCGTAATGCTTGCAACATCTGCAACACCACCACCTGTCGTCGTACTGGGAGAGAAGTAATCACTGCATTTTTTTCTTTTTATACAAAGCCGATTCGCTCTCACAAACAGCTTATCTGAGGAGATTTCAAGCTCTTAGTCAACTCAGGTAAGAGTACTGGGATTTCATGCTGACTGAGAAGAAGAGTTGCTTTCAATTCTGCATTTGACGGATAAGCTCCAACCCCACAACACGGTAATCACGCTTTTAACCATAAAACTCGACTTTTAAAAGCAAGTTTTGTCGTGGCCGATTCGACAACTATACAACGATAATCTTGTGTGCATAGTTAAGAAGAGAAATCTCTGCGCTGAGCATTTTTTCGCCGCAGTTTTATCGTAATTTAAGTGAAGCACCCTGCACAATTATGGCCAACTCAGGACACCAGATCGAACGGTTCAGAACTTGAAACCCGTAAAACCTGACTTGAATCAGAAACAGGAGTGTGATGTGTGATCTAGGAACTACTCAATCTATTGCTCTCATAGAATTTTTATAGAAGAATGTAAATCTCGAACAGCCATTGCGACGCCATGTAATGTGTGAAATTTTTGCAGAAATATAATATAAGGTAGGCAGTGGTCGGTTGAAACGTGGCAACCCCAGTCGGCGCGCTCTCGGACAGCTTTGCATACCTTTCGTACCTTGGGATCGCGTTCGCCTTGCGCATGCTATCCAAAGCATAAACTACAAGCAGCAGCGTCCTTGTCTCAGGGCCTCTCAACTTTCCACTAAACTCCCGCCTAAGCTGCCTGAATGTTAAACGCTTCAATAATGGTCTTCTCACCCATTTCAAAACTCAAATTCTTGTTCTACGTGCCGGCAAGGCCTGAAACATGCAGAAAAGTGGAAATTCAAATCTGGCGGGGCACTGCCTTCAAGTAGATGTTACATTCACACCTGCTTACTTCGCTGAATATATCTTTGAACGTCATGAACGTAAATTATTTTCGTGGATGTGACGTTTTTTTCGTAATAGCGTGACTTAGGAACTGGAGGGAGTGTTCAATGCCCTCAATTTGAACAATTCTCTGATATACAATCGCATTTTACCAACCAAGGCGAAAAGGCGTTCAAAGTGGAAAAGCCTCTAATTATTTTCTTTTGAAACCTGATTAAGATTATGACGCTTTGGTGCATACCTTGCACAATATCTCTATGATTTGCAAATCTTCAAGGATTATTGCAATCAATCGGACTTTGCTGACTCAACCGTATAATCCCATTTACCTCAACAAAAACTCTTTGACTTTCATCTTCATAAGAGTAATGAAAAAAACGCCCCCAATGGTGATAATATGGAAATGCTGATGTTGCCACGTAAAGAAAACACCACACTGAGCACAGATATTGTGTCACTCTTTGGACGAAGGGACTTACACTTATGGCATACCTAGCTATTCCAGTGCGCAATCTGGCACTGCAACGATTCTTCATAATCAGTCGTAAGCGCGCTTTGCTCAGGCCAGAGTTGATGCATTTACAACAACTTACAGAATTTACGCGTTGATCTGCAGGCACCCGCCGAGTGGTGTGGCTGACGATCTGACCAGATCGCCGGAAGTATGCCTTAGGCCTCAAAATGCGACTAATCTTCACTCTCGGGCAGTACTTCAAAAAATTCTGAGCTCCATTTTGATTCTTCAAATCCCTTGTTTTTTCTCTTTTGAGAAGTTCCGTGATTTGTGGTCCTTTCCACCGTATTCTTACTGAATTAGTTCAATATCGTGCTGTTGCGTTATTAACTATACGATAAGCGTTCTTTCATAGAAAGTATCTTGGTTATAGGGATCAATATTGGGAAACTAGTAGGTGTTGTATAAAGCTGCCTCTCGAGAACAAACGCGTTTCAACGATCCTATATTCTTAAGCTTCTTTTTGAACGGCAAAATTACCACAAAAAATTACAAAAATTTCTGAGTGTATCAAAACTATACATGTTTTCGTTTATCCATGCAAGTACAAGCATGACGGCATGCGTTTTCAAAAATACTTCTCCGCACTACAAGAGGTGCGCTTTGGCTTTTCCCGATATCACACTGAACCTCACTATAGTTTATCACCACTACGTGGCCTGGATCGTCGATGGCCATGTCAAGTTTAATCTTCTCTCTTGAGAGGGGCTTAGAAGCCTTTAGGTGTTTCACGCTCCTTGTTTTGAAGAAATTTTAGCAAGAGAATAATCCAGGGCGGTATTTGAAGTACTCGATTGCTAATTGGGCGTTTCACTGTTATGAAAGCGTCAGACGAAAGCGCCCCGCGAGATTCATGAAAGTTCCGGGTTTATAGTCGAAAGGCCGTGAGAGCACCATCCTTCGAAATTGGGTTTTTCCTGCCAGACATGGGCCCAGACCAGACGCATGATCTCATATTGTGTCCTAATTTAATGTCTACTGTGTGATTGATAGGCTAACGACAGTCAATGTACTTCAATTACAACTTTCCCAAATTATAGATTTTGATGTGTATCGTAGTTCGCTAGGGTAGAGCTCATGAAAAAAATCAGACTTTTCTCATTCTGGCGCTAGTTATCAGGTTGCCCCAGTTCCGACCTCCAATTTTCACCACAACAACTCCCAATTTTGTGGTTCTTATAAAAGTCTTAGGATATCTTTTGGTAAAGAAAAACACGCTCAGGTGTGCCCAAGCATTCGCACAAAGCTATTTTCACATTCATAATGAAAATACAAAGACTTTCAAAATCCTGAAAACCGAAAAAAATCGCAACGCTTCGAAAATTTCCAGAAACTTCTAGCTTCTTCGATACGTACAATTTTCTTTTCAAGTTTATATGTACTGTTGCAACATTTTCTTGAAGGCAGCGTCCAGGCAGATTCTTGACGTCTATTTTTTATGTTATCCAAGCTTCTCCATAGCGCTGATTCCGAATATGGAACTCAAAAAGCGTGAATTTCTCAGAAAGCCACCTTTTGAGGCTATTTTGGGAAAACCCGGACGAGTGCTTCTGATGTTATCCTTGTCGAAAGCAAGTATTAACAGGTAAACGCTGTAAGTTTGACTGTATTGGTCATGTGAAAACACGTCGAAGCTGAGGAGATTTCGTTCATAAGGGGTTGGCCGTCCGAGGAAAGTGGGCGTGGTCGTCGAGCTCGGATCTGCCTGGACGCTGCCTTCAAGGGCTAGAAATTGAGAAACAAATACAGGGCTAAAAATACAAAATTTTCGCTTTTTGAGTTCTTCACAGC